AGGAATCATTGTGGAAAAGGGAATTACCCCCTTAAACGTTTCTTGTGAGGAAGTAAGAACACACATGAATGTGGTTTTTCCCTTTAGCCTCTATGTGAAGATCTGTGTTAGACACTTTGTTCCTCCTTTTTTAAAAAAAATTGTTTTCTGTGATCCTTTTGCAAACATATCCAATATAGATACAAATCTGAGTTCTTTAAATTATGTTGAAAACTTGGACCTTTCATATATGCATATAAAACAAAATCCTAAGAAAGTTGTGTGCTAAATGCTCTTAGTTCCCTAGGCATGTCTGTCATCAACAGCTTTGCCTCCAGAGTTAAGAACCAGACTATAAACAAAAACTCAGCTCATCATCATTCTCCTGAAAGGGAAAGAGAAACATTAAAAAGCAGTTAATGTGATTGTGCATCACACCAACATGCAGAATCAGATGAGAATATAACCTTTGTATTCTGCTAATGCATTTTGCTTGAAGCATGCTCTTCTGCTTTCTTTTTTCACATATACACTAGAATCTTAAAATTCTCAATTTTTTTAATCTTTGTACTTGAATAAGCCTTCAGAAACTTCTTCTGATCAAATAATATAAAGCTGAAACTTTTTTTTTTAACCATCTAGTGTTTTGGGAGAAGTATTTCCAGACATCTTTCTGGAAGCATACAAATTTCTGTAGTACCAGTAAACACATCAATTTTATTTATAATGCCCTGAAACGTATGTTCTAAAGTATGGAAATTCTTATTGCAATAGGTCTATTAAGTTTTTATAACTAAATAAGTATTTGGATGAGTGCATCGTTGCATATGGCAAGTTAATCATTCAGATCCACTACTAGGAAAGTTCTGATCCTCTTTCTGTTTGCGCCAGGAAAATGCTGCTTCAGGATGAGAATGCAACCAATCATAAAACATATTAACATATTTGAAGCTGTGCTGAACTGACTGTAGAATCTTTAAAAGACAGGAAAATGTTCTCCAAAATGTGCTCACACATTCAATGTAGTTATTACTCATCCCTAGCCTGATTGCTATAGCAAAGGTTTTTCTCAAGTGGTTGATTTTATAGTGAAGATGTGTTCAGTAGAAGATTTTCATATAGAAGGAAGTTTTAATGCAATGAATTACTGTTTATTTTGAGTTTTTCTGGGGGGATTTCTTTGAATGTTTCTTTTGAAGATGTCTTTGGTTTGGTTGTTTGGACTATAGCTTTAGTCTCTGTGGAAGACTGCTTGAAAAACTGCCGGTGGAAATGCATTTGAAAATGAAGTTTTTCATTGAAGCTCTTCTTCATGTACATTTCCATGTTCCTTCACATGTAAAACTATCAATCATTTTAATAGGAATTACAATTTTCTATGTAAGAGCATATTTTTGGTTAAGAATGAGCAAAGAAATGAATGAATTTACAAATAATAGAAGTTCCATTTTAGAAAAAAAAATCAAAGGTTTATTTTAAAGAAAGTGTTCTTTTCCTTAGTGAAATTCGAGAACTATTCACTTTATATTACAGGTCACTCACAGCAGAATTCAGTTGTTTTACATCAGTGTGAAATGTTGTTTTAAATGTTGAGTGCTCACACCTCCCATTTCCAGCAGTCTTTACTGAAGCCTGCAGTTTTTTTGAAAATCCTGCGTCATGGCAATTGTACCTAGAAGTAGCTTCCAGAAAGTTGTTTTGCTGTCTTGTCATTTGAGGGAGACTCAATAGTCATGACTGCAGGACATGACATGGACAGGACTGTTGAGTTCTCACAGATTTCTAATTATGGATAGAGATTGAATCCTCTTTTCTATTTTGACATGCTTTTTTTTTCCCATTTTTTTTTTGAATTATTTTATTAGGAAAATAAAAGTCTGCTAACTTGTGTTTTGCCTAAGTATAAATATCTATTCTTTGTTTTCAGTGTATCCATTGTTTTTGTTTTTCAGTAAAGGAATTGATTTCTTTATTCTTGTTTCTAACTACCTATTGCTATTCCTACATAAATCCCAACCTAGGAATCTGTCATGATGCAGTACTCTGGAGCTCATTTGTACTTGTATTTCCTTGTTTGTGTGGTGAATGTTATGGTAACTTGTGAGCACTTGGAGGTCTTCTCTTGGTTCATGTTAATGTCTTCTTCCTCAGTCTAGAATCTGCTTCTGTGTTTTCTAGAACACTCTTATAACTTTGCTCTTTTTTTCATTGGTCTGTATCTGCAATTTACATTTAAACTTACCATGTATATTGCCATCTATATTTGTCAGTAGCTATTTATTTTTTCTTTTAATTGTTCTAAAGATCATTTTTTCCAGCTTAATGTTTTGAAGTCAAAAGCTGACCATGGGTGAGCATTTACAACCACGTCTCCAGTGCCACCCTGTGTCTCCAGTCATCATCCCATGTAGGTGCCACATCCTGTGTCTCCCCTTCCTAAGGTCTCAGCTGTGATACCAGGCCTTTATTTCTCATCATTACGTTTGTCGTAAAACCATCGTGGTGCTGCCATATAGAGAAAGGATAGCCTCAACCACCTGGTCAACTGGTAAAAAAAAATCTGCTAAAACACCAACCGGCTAAATCAGGAAGTTCAGCTAAAGTTTAGAGAGGAAAGGTCTGTCAAACCTCAGTGCTAAGGGTATAAAGCTTGCAATCTCTTTATTAACAGCATCAATAGTATGTTATGGGGCTCCAATGTTATGATATGTCTATAATTAATACTGATGAAAGAAAGCTTTTTACAAACCATGCCTTTCTCTGTATTCTGCAGACAAATGCAACAGGAGTAACATCCAGGCTGACTCAACAGAAGTCATTCTGGTTAGGACATTGGATAATGCAAGAGGTTCAGAACACCAGATAGTATTTACTAAAGAAGGATGATGTACTTATGCTGGGAAAACAACACCATCTGCTTTAAACTTGTTCAAAAAATTCTGACCCAAAATTTCACACAGTAGAAGAGATGAGTAGGAGAAAGGTTTCAGGGCATTTGTGAGAAGCGAGATGACTTATGGAGGAAATTTTTTGTACAGTAGCACTTCAGTTTCACTTTGTATTCCTTCTCTCTAGGCTCCTAGAGTTACCTGCTCTTCAGGAGCACTTCAGTAGTTACTTTAGTCTGCCTTATATATCCTTTTATATATATATATATATATATATATACACTATATATATCCTACATATATATATATCCTATCCTTTTATATGTCCTTATATATCCTTTTAAGAAACAACTATGATTTTCATTGTTCAATTGCAATACTGTCAAAGAGTGTTTTAAAGTGTGAAAAAATGTTCCTTTACTTCTCACTAAATAGAGGAATCTAATTATATTCTATCTTTTGCAGAACAGTACTGTGTTAGAAACTCCTTGTTGCCTTAGGACTCAAAAATGAATTTGACCAAGAATGGTTTTCAGGAGAAAAATTATATAAGTTTTGTTTGGAAATAAGAATTATCCTTTAAAGTACTTGCTGGCCTTTTGTTATCCACAAGACTATAAAATAGTCTTAGGGATAAAAGTGCATTCCCAGTTAGATATTCCCCTCTGTGGGAATCCTCTTTATTTACTCATAGCTTTGTTTTACTGTACCATGACTTTGGTTCCTTCAGGAGGGATTCTTGGCAAGCACAATGATAGTATTCTGAGAGTGAACATAATCATCCATTAATAAATTTGTCATTACAGTGTGTTTCCTACTTCAAATCGACTTTGAATTTTAATCTTTAGTCCATGCGTAGTCAAAACACTCAGGCTTACGAATTGCTGAAGGGGGAATATATATTCAAGGAACAAAATATCTTACTTTTAATATAAATGTGATGTGCATAGGTTTCTATGTCTTCTGTTCCCTGTATGCCCTGGCACATTCAGAGGCACATTTTTGAGCCCAACTTCCATGATTTGTGTGCAAAAGAACTAAGGTAGGAATGAGCCCTCATCTTTAGTCCTTGTGCTCGCACTGCTGTCCAATGACTTCCAGTCTGAATATTTTACTAAGCCTAATAAACATCTGTGTCCATAAATAGACACCTAAACTGACCCAAAGAAATGATTCCCACAATAAATATTTCCTAGAAAATTAACTGTAATACATACAGAAAACAGAACTTACTGAAGCCTTCTGAGGGACAGAATTATCTCCAGGGGTTTTGTGGAGTTAAGTTTTTAGGACTGGCAGATGAGAAACAAAAAATTTTCTCCAAGAGAAGTAATTTAAAAAATATATTAGCTTATTTTTTTTTTTGCCCACTGGAGCATCATTTAGAAACCCAGATTAAATTCCTACCAAAGCTTTCAAAGGAAAACTGGTGCCCCAGTAATCTTACCAGTGATTTTGAATACTTTCCTTATCAGTATGTTTAAAGTATAAGGTTCTAACTGATTTTAAAACATTGAAAATAAAATGAATGGCATACAAATGATATTAAGGAGTACTTGATGCTTCTGTGAAGCCATATATTTCACACACATAAACATGATGGACATCATGTGAATATTACTACCAGACAGTTCTAATGCTGTCATTTTAAACAAGTGCAGCTTTTGTTAAGATGCCATTAATTTTTATTTAATTGATGCCTTGGTTTTAAAGATTGGGATCATTCTGAAGCCACATTATTATTCTATGCAGCAGCTTACTCCAGGGTAATTTATTTTATATCTGCATTCTTTGGGAACGTCAGATCTGTTTATTCAGCGCAGATAAATCTGCCATGTGGTAAATGATAAGAAGGAGATGGTCAAGTATGTTATGTTTCTAACCCTCTGAGTTCTGTCAAAAATTATTGTAAAATGTGTGATATATTTTGAAAGGAAAAGAATAATGTGTTGTTTTATTCTGTGGAACACTTATTAATTCTATATAGAATATTATTAGTCTAGAAATTGGATGTGCCAGTGTGCTATAGAGAAATGAGTTTTTGAATATAATGTTCTGCATAAAATGAAGAATGCTATTTATCATAATATTTGGCATTTAGATAGAACTTTTCTGAGACTCTAAGCATTTTATTAACATTTATTAAGTACAGCACATGACACGTCCTTTGAGGTAAGCAATTCTTCCATTATATTAAGGAAAAAAGATAACAGCATAAAGAGTTGGTAGTTAGAACCATCATAATCTGCCTTTCCTAGGCTTCTTGCTTCTGTGAAACCACAATTCTTCATTCCTTGAAAACAAAGAAGCCAAAGAATATTTAAGTTTGTATTGCCCTTATTTCATTAAGTAAAACATTAGGGTGTGTTAGTTTTTTATCAGTTGTTTGTTAGTTGTTATGTTATTGCTTTTCTAAGATATGGAATATAATTAACTCTTGATAGGCTGGTGGGTGATAATCACTTAAACTTATATTATTACTGATAATGAACCATTCAAAAGTAGTTTTTTACTGAGAGATATTTCTTAGCATAAGAAATATAATATCCCATTATATTTATACATACTTTCATTTAGAAAATACATATTTAGTTAAATGTATCCTTAGCTATAATTTTCTAATGACACTTAGATGTTACAGACAGAGATTTCTTAAATTAGTGGTCATTATTATTAACAATTTTTTATGACAGAACTTTAAAAATAGGTAGAGGACATTTCATTGCAATATATTAAAACTGAATCTATCTTTGACCTCTTAAGTTCTTGTGATTGACCAGGTGCCAGTTTGCCCTGTTATATTTTTATAAAGTACAGATTTACTAACAGAAGTGTGCTCGTAACAGAAAGCTATTTGCTGCTGTCATAAATTATATCATATCCCAAACAGTTTTGGAATGACATTTTATTTGGAAGATCAGTAACTAGCTGTATCTCTGTAGTTTGCCCTGAAGTTCTTACTAGTAATGAGAGTTTAAAAGCCTTCAGGAGCCTCGAGGAGAAAAGTAAAATGAAGCCACTAAATTTTATATTGTAGTGATCAAATCCAGAGGAACTTGTAAAAGTGTCTCAAAAATTTGGCGCTTGCACAGAAAATACATTTTTAAATTGACTGTTAGAAAAAAAAAGAAAATTTTAACTAAGTTTGAACTAGAGTTTAAAGTGTTCAATAAGAACAAAAACCAGCTATTTCTTATGCTATGAAAAGTATTGTGGGTTTGATCCCTGTATGGGCCATTCACTCAGGAGTTGGACTTAAAGATCCTTGTGGGTCTCTTCCAACCCAGAATATTCTGTGCTTCTGTGATTTAGATGTACAGGATTGTAGACTAGAGCACAGAAATAAATCAAACCAGGTGCTTCTGTTTTCAAAAGGTATTACAGAGCCCTAGACATTATGGAATGTTTCTGCACAGAAATATTATGTAAATATGAACTGAGAAGTTGGTGTTTTTTCCCTTGAGAATACCTGCAAGAGAGAGTTGGAATAGGAACCACTTCATTATCTGCTTTGCTCTTTCTCATTCATAGTCCCATGTAAGGTGGAACACTGTGCACTGGATTTTGCTTTGTGAGTATTGAGATACGATAGTCTGTGAAGACAGAATTAACCTACAACATTAGAACAAGGTGCCTTTGCTTCCTTCTAGTGGAAATATGCTTCAGGCCATCCTTCTCAAAGTACACATGAATACTTTAGGTTCTATTAAAAAGCTTGTAACGAATAGGAAATCCAACATGGTATTTGTTAGTTCTTCTGTCTTACCTACTTGCCCTGGGATTTTTCTTTGTTTTGCTTGCTTTTCTCTTTGCTTTGTTTTGGTTTTTGGTTTTTTTAGAGTCTTTAGGAATCCTCTTTCATTTTCCTTGTAACAAGTCATAATGCCAAAGAATTGGAGGATTTTTCTAAATCTAAAAGCTAAATGAAGACTCATCTAGACTAGACAGGGTGACATACTTAAACACCAATTCCCTGTGCTAAAAAAACCCCAAAAGTCAGTTTGACCACTGCTTGTTCTATCAGCTCATTCCTTCCAATATTGCAGTTTTATGTTAAAACCCAGATTCTCAAAGTATGTAATTTAATCACTATAAAGTAATTAGATCACTATAAAGAGTAGAAAAACATTTTATTCTTTTTGAGATGGTTTTCCTATTTAAATAATAAAGAAAAATCAGCTACTTATGTGATTTGACTTTCCCTCAAGTTTCTTTAAATGAAGCATGACACATTTTCCTAGCATGCCATATATGTCTTTCAACACATCATGGACCATGAAGGACTAAGATGACTTTATCTTGAATCTACAGTGCAACAGAATTATCTATATCATACGCGAACAGGGCAATAACAAATCCTATCCACTTCAAGAAATGTATTTTTTGTCCATTTTTTAAAAATTTTTATGGAGGTGATGAACTAAACTGATTTTTAAAAATAAAAGTTTGAAAATGGGATAATTTTATCGACATTTTCAAAGTATGATTTCTGGATTTTTTTTTTCCCTAAAGTTCTATAAAACTATCCTGATAAAACAGAGAAACATTTTCTCCTCTTTTCATGAATGTGTCTTTTTAGTATTATTATTCTTTTTTACTTATGCTATTTAATAAAAAAATATTATCATGTATTGTTCTGAGTTGCAGGGGACCCAGAAGGATGATCAACTACAACTCTGGAATCCTGGCACTAGTGTTACTAGCATCAGGCTCTAATCAGATGAGCTAACCCCAGGGTGAATGATGAAACTACTTTAATTTGAATCCTATTTATCAAAATGAAATTCTAAAATCTGATAAGTATTTTTAAAAAAAGTTCTCCACTTCCTCCTCACCCTGATGAGCAGATCAGAGGCGCACGGTGATTGCAGCTGGCCTGTAAGTGTTTACCTCTGCTAATACTTCCTCACACTTTTCCCCTGTTCTAGTGTGGGTCCTGATAGGTGAGTCCTTCCTGAAGTGTCCCAGTGTGGGGTCCCTGAAGGAGAGATCCTTCAGAAAACACTCGATTCAGTTTGGGCTCTCCATGGGCCACAGTTTCTACATTGCTTATCACGGAATGGTTGAGGTGCGAAGGGTCCTCTGGAGGTCATCTGGGCCACCCCAATTACCAAGGCAAAGCCATGTAGATCTGGTTGCCCAGGACCATCTCCCAGGTGGGAGTATATACAACCTCCCTGGGTGACTTGTGCCAGCACCCAGTCACCCTCACAGTACAATAGTGTTTCCTGATGGTCAGAGCTAACCTCCTGTGTCTCAGTTTGTGCCCATGCCTCTGGTTCTGTCACTGGGCACTACTGAGAAGAGCCTGGCTCTGTCCTTTTTGTACCTTCTCTTTGTCTACTTCCATTACAAGACCCCTCTGACTTTTCTCCAGTCCAGCCCTCTTTTCCCCATAGGAGAAATGCTCCAGTCCCTTTAATCGTCCTTGTGGCTCTTTGTTACACTCTGCCCATATCTCTCTTGTACCAGGGAGCTGAGAACAGTAGGGCTTCCATTACTGTCCCTCAGACAACTCTCTTGGATATGTTATCCAGCTGTGGGATTCACAGCATGCTGGCTGAAAATCAGGGCCTGCAGGAGGGGATCTGGGGCTGCTGGCTGACATGAGTCAACAGTGAGCTCGGGTAGCCAAGAGGGCAAACTGCATCCTGGGATGCATCAAATAGGCAAATACCTGGGAAAAAGAGAGGATTGTCCCATTGAACTTGGCGTTGGTGCACATATAAGTGACAGGCTTTATTTAATAAACTGTGTATTTTTGCTTTTAGCAGTCTGTACTATTGAAGTGGATTAACAATTCTCTAAGGTCAAATGAAACCTATAGAGTTTTGCCAGTTGGCCTGCTTTTACAACTTCTTTTTATTTATTTATTTATTTATTTAAATTGTTCTGTGTAGTACATTCATTATGCCTAGTTTTTCCAACTACAAAATAAGCCACCATGTCTTTCTGGGAAAATAGGAAGGATTAATTCATCCACTGGAGATTTTTCAAGTGTATGTTTTCATAAAAACAATTCTATTTTTTCCTTTTCCCATGTTAGAAACTATTAATGAGCTTAACAGTGAAGGTCTGTTTGGGCTTTCTGTTGCCTAAATGTTGTGCTGATCATGGCTTATGTTTTACTTTTGAAAAAGTGTTTTTTGTCTCTGTTGGAGAGTAATATCCCCCATAAAGGTCATGACTTGTAAAGACACATGAAGTGAAGTGAGTGGCACAAAACAGTAGGTAGCAAAGCATTGTACAATTCGGTGAACAATAAGGTCAATTACTCCATATCTACTTGTAGTTCAGCACAGCTGGATGGAAAAAACTGCAATATCTGACTGGCATTCTGTAGCAGTTTAATGCAGAATAATAATAGAGTTTAAATTGCCAGTTTACCAGAAGTGTCATTCTGAGTGGGCCAGCACAGAAATGAGAAGCAAGCTGTCAGAAAAGTATTACAAAAAGAACTGAAAAGTATTAGGAGAACAGAAAAGAAAGAAAATAGTAGAGAGCATATTGCTTGCTAAACTGACATCCTAGTTTTTCATACACTTTTTTGTCTTAAAACTAACTGGTCAGACCATTGCAAGAGTTCTTTACTATTTAAACACGGTTTGTAGCTTTATAAAGCCGATTAACATCAGAAAAAAAGTTCCCAAATAACCAACATCTGAGTTCAAATGTTCACTTGCACTAGTAAAGTTCTGTGAAATGAGTGGGTACTGAGATTATATGCAATTCATCAAGTACTGCAGTCCAGTGGAAAATTTGAACAGTAAAGATTAACTCCCTAATTGCATAAGAATCTTGAGGCAGTACTCTAGTAAGGAGAAAGAGCATTAAAAAGTAAAAGAATACAGAGAGGATTTTAGCATATACTGATAAATATGCAGTGAAAAAATAATTTTATGTCCTCAAAATCATCCAAAAAGAGGATGAACTTACCTGGGAAAGCCATATATATACTCTCACAAGCTTTGTGATTTATAAAAGTTGACAGGATCGGTTAGAGAAGAACAATGGTTTTGATGTGATCTTCCCATTTTATATCAAGTGCATTGCTACAGACAGTTTAATGTTTGCATGCAAATTCAGAAATAAAGCAATTTTAGAACTTGGACAATATTTTTATAAGGATATGTTTTGGCATTACATGAAATATATTAACTAGGATGGGCTACCCTCATTGGCATAAAGAAAGCTACTATATTTTAATGACTATTATGTTTTCTTACACAGTTTAGGATATTTGGTTCAGGTTTATTTTGTCCAGAGAATAGATGATAAAATTTTGAATGTTTTTCATTGTACAGTTCTTATTGTGTAGGTTAAACATGTTTTTAATGCTGACTGAGAAACAAAAATGCAGAGATAGGATTTGTAAAACAATCTTTCCTTTCAGTATTGCTTCTCTGTTCAGATAGTACAGGGCGGCAAAACTAGGAGAAATCTCGACTATGAAATTTACTTTCTCTATAGGATTTTTAATTTTCTTCAAGTTATCTCTTACAACAGCATATGTGGGTTATCCTTCCATTGGAGTTTCCAGCAGTACCATATATTATGGGAGGGGGTGTTTATTGCAAGTTTAAACCCAATGTTCCTTATTAAAAGTCATAGAACATAATTATTTCTCAGTTTTTCTGAACCTAGCAACTTCTTTCGGTATTGCAGGTGAAGTCACTACAGAGAAAGGAGTCACCACCCGTACTTCTGTCTAACTCTTCCCATCACTGTCATCCAGCTGTTTCACCGTGTCTGCTGTGAAGGAAAAGCAGGAATCCCAGGAGCAGGATATGGGAAGGATAGAGACAGAAATTAAAACAACAGCTGGTGGCAGAAAGCTTTGGCTGGTAATTGCTTATCCTGACTTTGAGTGGCAGCAGCATCTACACTGCTTAAAAGGCTAGTGTTCAATAAGAAATCTGACAGTCAGATTTCCAGTTAATGCCTAACCTAGAACACAGTTTTCCCTCAAAACAGTGAAATATGAAGTTTCTTTACTCAGGGAAATATATTCTATGCATCACAGGGCATTCTTTTTTTCCAGCCTTTTCATATAGCACCGGTATAATTTCACGCACTTCTTCTGAGTTAGAGGTTAGTAAAGGCCTGGTAGATAGCAGTACATGTTTCTCCTACTAACACAGCTTTTACTTTCATACTTCTAAGCAATTAAATTTGTGTTAGTTGGTTGTTAGGTCAAGCATTAATTATAAGTTTTTCTTGATGAGGAACCACAGAGTGTGTGCCAAAGATATTAAAATCTTCTTTTTCTAGACAGAGAGTAATCATGGTACTGGTAATGAAGGAATTGTTTCTCATGTGAATGTAATTATTCACACTTGGCTTTTTGCAGCATGAGAACATGCTTTTACAACAGACATTACCCATTGCTAGAAGCTTGCTGCCAGTTTAAATGAGTAGATCTTCTAATCTAGTGTGGCAACATTTCTAAATTGAGTAAAATAAAATTAACTTTGGTGCTGTTATCGGTGTACTTGGCTGTTGTCTACATGACAATTCCTTGGGAAAATTATGATTGACTGCTCTCAAGGCAACAGCTTGAATACAGAGGGTAATGGACACAGAAAAACAAGAC